ATAACGTCTTATCTAAGAGTTGGATATTACATCCCTGAGATGGTTACCACTACGAAGAGAACATGCTCGAACTTGCTCTCTCATTTCAAATGCAGTCAGCATTGCCTGTCTCTCGCGGAAGTTTGTAACTGTTCAAAGGATCAGCTTCCGGGATGATGCATGTCGCTATCCAAAATGCCGACAGAATTTCCTTTGGGCTGCAACGATGAATCTTTGGCGGGTAAAGTATGCTTCGGCTACGTATGCAATTTTTTTGTGTGGGGAGGGGGTCCACGACATTGAGGGTCTACTCTCTGCAAAAGAGATATCAGAATCTATCTTGCATATTTATAAGCCTACCGTCCGTCCTTGAATTGAATATTAATGCCACATCTGGTTTGGTGATTACTGCTGTATCTTAGTTAATATTTTGCTTATACACTCTCCCAAAGGGCACTTGAATTTATCTCCAACGAATTAAATAATATTTATGTTGGTCACACCACAAACTCGCTTTCACGACGCTTGACACTACATTTTAATGAAAACACTAACATTTTTAGGCATTTAAAACAACATGCCTGCCCGCACACACAATTCCGTAAAATACTTGTCGAAAACACAACTATACTTCGACATGAAAACAATAGACAAAAACTAAAAATACTTGAAGCATTATACATCAAACAGTTGAAACCCAACCGAAACAAAATCAATTATGGCATCTCTACAAATATCCTTAAATGTCTATAATTGGTAACAGAAGCCGTTGGTTTATACCAACGGCTTTCCATACTTCATTCTACAATTCACTCTCGTGTGGTCATGTGTGACGTCATGAGATGCGATGCGATTCTCGCTTCTAGCGTCTTATATGCGCGTGTTTATCGTTGCTTAGAGATTATTTATGTAAACAATGACAGACTATCATCACTGTCGTGTCCGTATATTGTTTAATATGTTTGTGATTTACATCTTTGATAATGGCTTAAGTAAGCCGAAAGCTTAGATTATATTAAAAAAATATGGATCAATATTGTGAATTTCTTTCTTCGTTTAATGATAATGTTATCAAACTTATCAGATGTTACGAACAAAATTTACATAAAATAAATAGACAACACTTGTCTATATTATTTAATGAAACGTGTATAAATATATATATATGGTGTCCCACAAATCTGGGCATATAGTAAAAAATGCATATTTTAAAGAAATGGAGTTTTCACCAACATTTTATTGAATTGGAATATTAACAAATAACATCTTAATATGATTTCCGTGTTTTGTGATGAACTTTACAGATTCACGTGAATTCGATGCAATAACTCCACTTTGCTGTCAATTTTGGTACATTCACTTTTTATGCGTTCAATCAAGTGTGTTGCATCTGTGATGTTCATTGAGTACACCTTCTCCTTTAGTATACCTCAAAAAAAAGTCAGTTCCTTATTTTTTCTTTCGAAAAAAACATGTTTAATCTGTGGAGGTAAAGAAAATATAGTTAATACGATTTCCTGTGTGTCCAGACTTTAGTATATACGATAAAATATAGATTCAACCTATCCTAGATTTTTGGATTAAAATGTTTAATACCAGGCATAGAAGACAGTCTGTTTCACACTTAAACGCAATGTCCAGACCTGAAGATTGCGTTTAAGCATGAAACAGGCTCTTGACGCAAGGTGTTGACATCAATGTCTACTTTTATAGTTACATACGCTCTATCCCTGATAATGAGCACTTTAACCCATAAGTATAGCATACTTTAAAACATTTTTTATCTATTTGCTATTAATACGCTGTTCAGTGTTGATAATGGTATTTACAAGAACAATCTGTTCGCGCTAAATGTGTTCTCTCCTGGTACTTTACAGGTGGACGGGTTTTCGTGGGCGGAAAACAATTCTTGATAATAACGACAGGGACAGATAAAAAGTGCTCGAATGTATAAAAATGAACTTTGAACTGTTTAACGTTTTTTAATCCAGATGTAAAACAATTTAGAGAAACAGACCTTGATAATGCTATCTATATATAAAATTCTGTGAATTCTGTTAGTCCGTCCGTCCGCCACTTTCCCTAAAATAGCCATACATTGACCGATCGAACCTAAATTTTGGAGTAAAGGCAAGTGGGTACAAAGTACGATTGGCTTTACTTGAGTGCGTAGCTTAGTACAATAAATTTTCATTGTTTTTAGAAAAATTAAGTTTTATTATTTGATAGTTTGAGGATAGCTAGGGCATGTCCCATGGTTGTGACACCTAGTTCTTTAAGGATTTCCCGGTCTATAAATAGAGAGGCTATCCTTAGTAATACTTTTTTTCACAAAAGATTCAGCATAGGTCCTGGCAGAGTCAGTGGGAATGCCAATTTTGATAAGTAGTTCTTGCCAATCATCGGATCCCGTTCGCAGCGACATGTAGAATATTGGTTACCTTGCCAGTGGTCTAACACACAAGTAGGCAAGTGTAGTCAAAGCTAAAACTGACTTGAGTCATTTCATGGAGAAATATATGGGTGAATAAAGACCACTCATGCAAATGTATTGGGCAGGTCCATTCTAGCAAAATGGACCAACCTAACTGGTGTATTAGGCACTCTCCTATAAAATGAGATAAATTCAGCTGGCTCGCTTTGCAAGAAAACAGAAGAAGGCAGCCATGTTGGCAGGTAACTCACTTGACGTCTACATTATGTATAACATACAAAATACTCCCACTATTTAAAAAACAAATTAAGGATTAAAATAACAAATACTTTTTTAATAAAAATGCAATATTGTTTTTTGCATATCTTAACTTTTTATATACAAGAATCCAGTTTCCCTTTCGCTCTGCGTTTGCGAGAACTATAAACAAATCGCCTCAAAAAATTGGAATTCGGCCCCAGAAAGAAATATTTACGCATGGCCAATTGTATGTTGCATGCTCAAGAGTAAGAAATCCTAAGAATTTATTATTCGCTGTTAAAATAGAAAAAAAAAAGAAATTTTCTTTAAAATATTGTTTACCACAAAGTCCTATAAAATTAAAGGCATTATTAAACCGCGAATTAGGGGTTTTTTGTCAAATTATTTTTCCATACAAATAAACTTAGTCAAATTTCATCGATTGCTTTGCGCAATTGAACGAAACGTAGTTTGTAAATCTCGACAAAAATGTTAGCGATACACTGTTTACATTTGTCGCTATATTTATTACAACGTTTCGGCCGTTGTACCTCCGGCCTTGTTCAGGTATATGGCGACAAAGATTAGGACAATAGTCCGAATAATGTAAATAGTGTACATAATACCTCATCTCAGAAATATAGACTGATACTGAAAGGCCGAAACGTTGTAATAAATATGGCAAAAAAGATGAGGACAATAGTAAACTGTACATAATACCTCATCTCAGAAATATAGACAGAAACTTCAACATACATACATATATATATATATATATATATATATATATATATATATATATATATATATTCTCAGACTAATTTTTTTTTGGCTGACATGAAAATTATATTGAATCAATTAAGTCTGCTGCTAGGAAAGTACGTTCACTGTGTCATATTAGACAATTTTTCTCGCTAGAAACTATCTTACATATTTATAATTCTACCATTCGCCCTTGCATTGAATATTACTGTCACATCTGGTTTGGTGCGTCTTCTACATATTTAAAGATTCTTGGTAAAATCCAAAGAACCTGCGTTGTTACTTGTCCTGATCTGGCATCTCGGCTTCAGTCACTTTCCCACCGCCCTAGCATGACTTCTTGTGCTTTTCATATAATTGCTTTCATGGCAATTGTTCCGATTAACTTTCCTCTATGGTACCTAGACTTTACGAATTTAAGCGCAGTGCTAGACTGACTAGGTCCTACCATTTTTACATTTGAATGGCTAGATGTAACCGTAAGTTCTATGCTAACTGTTTCTTCTCTCGCAATTCTCGCTTGTGAAAATACATTCCGGCTTCTTGCCATCCTTAACTTTGGTCTGCAAATATTTAAATGCAATGTAACTCGTTATTTTCTATCTTTTTAATTGCTGTTATTTTATTGTTCTCTCTCCTTAATAGTGTTTTTTTTTTTTTTTTTATCATATTCTCGAACATTCTTATTGCATTTTATTGACTTTACTACCTTGCTTGGGGTAAATTCGTTTAAAAAAATAATATAACATCGCTGTTTTTTCTTCAAACCTCCAAACCAATACAGCCTCCTGGATGGAGCGGTTTGAAGCCGAGACAGTTTATTATAGTATATTTGATATCATGACCTTCCTCCGAGACACTACAGTGCTTTCTGGCCCGCCCTCGCCAAAGGGTTATCGACCCCTGTCATAGGGACCCAGACAGAAATAAGTGTAGGTTTTTATACTTTCCTGTGAAATACATCTCTCAGATGATCTGACACACACATAATCAGTGATGGTTGTAGTCGAGGATCATTAGGGGTTTCGGGTCTTCCATATTTTCTTTTGCTCCTTTTTCGCTAACACAATTTTACGGCAAATCCAAAATCTCTCAAAGAAAGAAACGATTTTGCAACTCTAAAAATTGGCGGCGCCTAAAACGACGTTTGTTGTTGCTAGTTTTATTAAATAACTATTTTGGCCGCATGATCTTCCATATATTTTAGTTTCTAACATGCGAGTAATTATTTTAAAGTCATATTTTACTTACATAGCAAGACACTTTAAATTAAAATGTTGAACTTCCTGATCCCTAGGACCTTTAGATATCTGGAGCATGGGGTCAACTTATTTTAAAAATTGATTTCATGAAAACAAAAACAAACAATCTATAACTTCAACCTCCATTCAGTGTCCATTGATTTTTGCAGCCACGTGCAAAAATGAGATTTTATTCAAGATGAAAAAAGTAATACTCAAGGGATATTAAATTAATGGATTTGCAAGAAAATTGTACTTCGTGCCACGTGTCTGAAGGGTAAATTTATTTTTTTTAAAATTAATTGAAAAGTTTACATTTTCTGCTTGAGAAAACTTGGATTTAGACATTGGTAAAATATTCTCTCTTTCTCTCTCTCTTTCTCTCACTAACTTCCCTTTGTCACCTTTCTCTCTGTGTATTCTTTTTGTTGTCCTTCTCTCCGTCTTCCTTTTGTCGTCTTTCTCTCTCTCTTTCTCTTCCTTTTGTCGCCTTACTCTTCCTTTTGTCTCCTTTCTCTCTGTCTTCATTTTGTCGCCTTTCTCTCTCTGTCTTCATTTTGTCGCCTTTCTCTCTCTGTCTTCATTTTGTCGCCTTTCTCTCTCTGTCTTCATTTTGTCGCCTTTCTCTCTCTGTCTTCATTTTGTCGCCTTTCTCTCTCTGTCTTCATTTTGTCGCTTTTTCTCTCTCTGTCTTCATTTTGTCGCCTTTCTCTCTCTCTGTCTTCATTTTGTCGCCTTTTTCTCTCTCTGTCTTCATTTTTCATTTTGTTCTCTCTCTCTGTCTTCATTTTGTCGCCTTTCTCTCTCTCTCTGTCTTCATTTTGTCGCCTTTTCTCTCTCTCTGTCTTCATTTTGTCGCCTTTCTCTCTCTCTCTGTCTTCATTTTGTCGCCTTTCTCTCTCTCTCTGTCTTCATTTTGTCGCCTTTCTCTCTCTCTCTGTCTTCATTTTGTCGCCTTTCTCTCTCTCTCTGTCTTCATTTTGTCTTTCTCTCTCTCTCTCTCCATTTTCTCTCCATTTTGTCGCCTCTCTCTCTGTCTTCATTTTTCTCTCTCTCTCTCTCTCTCCATTTTGTCGCCTTTCTCTCTCTCTCTGTCTTCATTTTCTCTCTCTCTCTGTCTCCATTTTGTCGCCTTTCTCTCTCTCTCTGTCTCCATTTTGTCGCCTTTCTCTCTCTCTCTGTCTTCATTTTGTCGTCTTTCTCTCTCTCTCTGTCTTCATTTTGTCGTCTTTTCTCTCTCTCTGTCTTCATTTTGTCCTCTTTCTCTCTCTCTGTCTTCATTTTGTCCTCTTTCTCTGTCTCCCTTTTTTTTCGTCTTTCTCTCTTTCTCTGTTTGTCTTACCCTTTTTGTCAGTCACCTTGTATTTGCCTTACTTCCTTTCTCTCTCTCTCTCTATATATATATATATATATATATATATATATATATATATATATAATACACACACACACACATATAAACCTAGCCGAAGAGACAGATAAAACTACTGACAAAGGTGTTGGTTCTCAACTATAAATTCTCTTACCAGAACCAGCCTGGCGATTTTTGCCGACATTAATGTCGACGCCATTACGTAAACAGACATTCTGGGCTTTAAGAAAAGAACAAGAATTGAACCTCTTTTGCTCCCTTTCTGGTTTGTGATAAAATCTTTTCGGTGTGTGGTTGGTGTGCGATTATGTGTGCTTTTATGTTGTGCCTGAAACTCCGAGGTAAAGGCATGAATCCATCATTCCCTATGCTCTCCCCAATATTTTGTCGAAATCTCAATGGTATGACACGATAGTAGTTTTTAAGTTTTTGGACATATCGGAAACTGACCAAAGCTGTTACAAATATTGTCAACCTTGATCGTTCTTTTATTAAGATCGGCCATTAGTTTTCAAACTTTCCATTACTTTCTGGCTGTCCAAACTACGCTCTGGTTGATTAGTTGGAAGATTATGTTGCGCAAGAAGCTGGAAAACGAGCATTCGAAATACTGGCCTTTTCTTGGGTTAGATTGTATATTTAAGTTTTTCTTTAAGTGATCTGTCTCTTCAGGATGCAGACGATAATGGCTCTCCACGGGTTCCTTTTCCTTATCTGTGTACTGCCACTTATTCAAAGATAGCGAAGAGGTTTTCTGTTGCCTTCATTACGGTTGGAATTCAGAGTTTTCCTTCTGTTCAGCTGGTTGCTACTTACGACTAGACAGGCCTGTCTAACCTGTTATTTAACCCATAGATGGGGGAGAAGACTGATGCCTTTTTTTCTAAGCATGAAAGTGAGTGGAAGAGAATAAGAATTTAGTCGGGAGAAAAGACAATAAAAGAACAGGTTTCAGGAAGACAGAAGACGGCGATAATGCCACTAAGACGCAAGGGGTTACTGGGAGTGAAAGAGAACGAGAAGACTTTAGTGAAGAGAAAAGAAAATAAAAAAACAGGTTTCGGGAAGCCAGAAGATGGCGATTGATGTTGAATTTAAATTTTTCAACCGACTTTTGTACATAGACTTATGTCCTTCATATGGATGCATTCTCATTTTTTTGCATATCTTGAAAAAGAATTTTTTTTATAATAATGTTCACCCAAGACAAGGCCCAAGAGCCGATCAAGGTAGAGGGCTACTGTGTAGTGCTGTATAAGCGTAAGCAAAAGCAAGAAGTGAGTTCATTGAGTTATCCAGGAAAGATAACGGTTAACCCTAGACTTGGAGGGGGTCAACATTGTAGTGATTTGGAAAACCTCCTCCCGGGAGTCTGTTCCAGGAAGCAGCAGTTCTTGGGAAGAAGTTATCCGAATGGAATTTTCTTCTTAGTATTGGAATACGAAAGGAAAAGATAAAGGTTAACCCTAGACTTGAAGAGGTCAAGATTGTAGTGATTGGGAAAACATCATGTTGGTAGTCTGTTCTACAAAGCAGTAGTTCTAGGGAAGAAGCTGTCCAAATGGAACTTCCTCCTTACTATTGGAATCCGAAAGGAATGGGGATGATTCACTCTTGTGGACGTGGCATGGCGAGTGGGACCAAGGAATGTAGCTTATCAGAACACATGCCATGGAAATAGCAATAAAACACCGAGCGGTTCGAGACGGTTCGTCTGTAGAAATGGAGCTGTAGAGGGAGGAATGTCATCACCCACAAGGCCGCATAGACGCTTTTAAACTATCAAGGCAAGAAAATAAGGACTGGATAACTCCAGCCCAGACATGTCAGCAATGCACCATTTTTGGTCTGATCAGATACTGATGTCAACACCGAGTGGCAACAGTCTGTTTCATGCTTGAACACAAACTTCCGGCCGAAGATTACGTTCAGGCATGAAACCGACTGTCTCCAATCGATGTTGACATCAGTGTCTACACTGCTTATATAAATGCACGTATCTCTAAAGACACTATTGATAAAAGAAAGAAAAATAAATGAATGTATGGCAGAGCAAGTGAAAGGTTATTGATAGCAATAAAAGACAGGAAGCTGTGGAAGGCAATAATCACACATGAACTGAATGGACTTGGCATATAAAAAAAAAAAAAGTTGTAGATCCATTTTCAATGGCAGGCATGTGTTGCTTACATTATTACAATCAGCAAAAAACATTAATAACACTCTGAAGCACTTCAAACGAGTCGGGTTGCAAGTCGCTTTTAGATTTACAAACGTGTTACGCCAGTGCAAATGACACGCATACCAACCATCCTTCAAAATCAAATAACGTCATTAAGGAAATCTGTTGCTACTTTAAGTAGCATGTACAACTACAAAAAATTGAATTTCCGAATTGTGTGTACTGTATAGTAACCTATTTTAATTGTGCTTGCCCCCCCACACTTCGTTAGTTCGCACGACCGTTACGCCCCGCCAAATAACGGACTATTCCGTTTTGATCGCGTGAAAAAAAAAAAAGAAGACTTATCAGTGACGCTACTTGGTTTCATTGAAAAAAGAAAAAGATAGAAAGAAAGAAGGGTTCAACGTCTTCTGCTAATTCCTTATAAATAACGGACTTTGATCGCGTGAAGAGACAAAGGACTCTTGTTGATTTCAGTGAGAAAAAAAAAGTTAGGTTTTAACATCTAATAAATAAATAGTGCTTATGTTTACTATTTACATTATTCGGACTATTGTCCGCATCTTTGTCGCCATATGTATTACAACGTTTCGGCCGTTGTACGCTCCAGCCTTTTTCAGATGGTTGGAATGTCGAACTGAACTCTTTATTTCACTCACTGGGGTAGACTGTTGTAGTTCCACGTGCCATGTTTAATGGATGTCAGTTATCAGTTATCTCATGTTAATTCCCCTCTGAAAGTTCTCCACTGTCTTAACCGGGTATTGAACTCACACTCTTTGGGTCCTGTTTTATCCATTGTGCCATGTGTCCTTGTGTTTATGCTTGTCGTCAATTCTCAAGAACAAAGAAAATGTATAAATTCACTTTCATATATTTAAGTTTTAGTTTGTTTTTTTTTTTTTTTGTTTTTATCGCTTTTTCAAACAATAAACATTGCCGAGGTGTAAATGTAGTTAAAATAGTAGCGGTGTCAACAGAAAAACCGTCTTTTTGAAACTCGGCTTTTCTTTTCTTTTTTTTCCGGAGACGAAGTGGACTTTTTTACCGGAAAAAAAATCGAAATTAAGCAAAATGTTTACGCGTATCGTCTTCTGTAATGTTTATTTTATTTTTTTAGCTGCACGGCACGCCTCATGATAAGTCACATCTCATGCCGCCCACTAGTTGGAGAAGGTGTCTGTTGTTAGCACACAAAATTCAAATTTATTATATAAGTTTTAATCTAAGAAAAGTTTGGACAAACTAACAATGAATACGTAATTCATGTGCTGCCTGATTTTATTCATGTTGACATCCTTGTTGAATATCATTAATTAATTAATATTCGCTATTTTAAAAATATGTTACCTGTCTGGTTTATTTAAAAGCCAGGTAAGAATGGATGTTTAAATTTTATGATACTGAATGGAATTTGAAATACAATGCTTGTATACAGAATAAGTAGATATCATTTTTTGAGGGGAAAAAAATCTCGGCCAATGACATTTAACAATGTTGTCTTGCAAAAACAAAAGTCTTTTGTCGATGGTGCATTTTGTCGATGCATCGTCCGTTCCCGCCCCTACCACTCCACTTCTAACAAAAAGGCATCGTTTGTTTCCAACACCATTCCACTTCTCAATGGGCAGCCGCTTTTTCCCGCTCCACCCCACTTTTCATTAAGAGGCATCGTACGTTTCCTTCTACACACCCCAACTTCTTAATGACGTCTAATTCGCCTTCACATTACGTGGGACCGTTCGTTCGCCTGCCCCCCCTACCTTCACATTACGTGCCATCGTTCATTAGCCTGCCCCTACCTTCACATTACGTGGGACCGTTCGTTCGCCTGCTCCCTCTACCTTCACATTACGTGGGACCGTTCGTTCGCCTGCTCCCCCCTACCTTCACATTACGTGCCATCGTTCATTAGCCTGCTCCCCTCACCTTCACATTACGTGGGACCGTTCGTTCGCCTGCTCCCCCTTACCTTAACATTACGTGGGACCGTTCGTTCGCCTGCCCCCCCTACCTTCACATTACGTGGGACCGTTCGTTCATTAGCCTGCTCCCTCTACCTTCACATTACGTGGGACCGTTCGTTCGCCTGCTCCCCTCACCTTCACATTACGTGGGACCGTTCGTTCGCCTGCCCCCCTACCTTCACATTACGTGGGACCGTTCGTTCATTAGCCTGCTCCCTCTACCTTCACATTACGTGGGACCGTTCGTTCGCCTGCTCCCCCTCACCTTCACATTACGTGGGACCGTTCGTTCGCCTTCTCCCCTCACCTTCACATTACGTGGGACCGTTCGTTCGCCTGCTCCCCCTACCTTCACATTACGTGGGACCGTTCGTTCGCCTGCTCCCCTTCACCTTCACACTACGTGGGACCGTTCGTTCGCCTGCTCCCCTTCACCTTCACACTACGTGGGACCGTTCGTTCGCCTGCTCCCCTTCACCTTCACACTACGTGGGACCGTTCGTCCGCCTGCTCCCCTTCACCTTCACACTACGTGGGACCGTTCGTTCGCCTGCTACCCCTCACCTTCACACTACGTGGCATCGTTCTTTGCCGCCTCTCCCTTACTCCGAGACGTCCCCAGTTCTTCAACACCCAAGTATGGCCTGACCTGCCCGTTCTTTTGAATATCTTTATCGACACTTTTGGGGTAGCTTTACTATATTTTTCTCCCAAAAGCAAATTCCTATTTCTGTCACAAAAAAAAAAAAAAATAAATAAAGTTGTGGATGGGGGGGACATTTCTGAAGAATCATTGCATTAACCAATTTCTCACCTCGTTTGAAAGTTTCTCTTATGAACAATACGGTCAAAAAGATCCTTGGTACCATGTGCTGCTTATAAAATCTTTGTCTTCAAACTTTCTTGACTTTGGGGGTCAAATGTCAAACTTGACAAACGTTGTCGTCGTTGTTGCTGTTGTTGTAGACTTAAAGATACCGAAAAGGAATGAAACGCCTTTTGCTCGATGATGTTTGCCTGAGAATTTCTTATGTTAGTTTTCAAGACAGAATGGCGTAGCATAATCTTCCTACGCCATATTTGGAAATGAGACCGTCTGGTCTTCTTGGTCACGTAGAAAAATATTTCTTTATTTTTTCTTTTTCCTCTTTCTTTTGTCTTTTCCTCTTCTTTCTTTTTCCTTTCCTCTTTCTTTTTCCTTTCCTCTTTCTTTTTCCTTTCCTCTTTCTTTTTCCTTTCCTCTTTCTTTTTCCTTTCCTCTTTCTTTTTCCTTTCCTCTTTCTTTTTCCTTTCCTCTTTCTCTTTTTTTCTCTTTCTTTTTCCTTTCCTCTTTCTCTTCTTTTCTCTTTCTTTTTCCTTTCCTCTTTCTCTTCTTTTCTCTTCTTTTTTCTCTCTCCACTTATACATAAACTTTCCCTCACTAATAATCGTAATGTAGGTCTCAGGCGAGATCCATAAAACTTGCAGCCATTCTCACCCACCCAGCACTTTTCTTTTAATTTTATTACCACCGCCATCGCCCAGTCAGATTTAAACTCTTGGTTTGTCACAGAAGATTCAAATATCAAACACAAAAAAAAAAAGTACTTGCTGGAGGAGAATGAGGTGGGAGGTGGGGTTAGCCTTTCTTCTTTCTCTGTCCATCCGTCGTTTGAGCAACGAATTTGATTGGTTAAAATAAAAGAAGAAAAAAATGCGCCCTATTCTCAGTTTTTCTGTCGCTTCTCAAAAGCACTCCTTTTAGTGCTCGGCATAGAGTGGGCTTTTTCAAACCTGTCGCTCACCGGTCAAAAAAAATTAATAATACGTATGTATTTATATATTTTCCGCCCCTATGTTTTGCCATTTAGTATAATTTCAACCATAAATTAGCTTTTGGTAGTATTTTAATGTTTTTGCTTTAATTTTTACGTCGAAAAAACAAAAAAACAAAACAAACCCTGAGTTGTGTCAATAGTCAATCGAGACGTAACTGTTGCTTCATTTAACAAAAATGTTTTTTAAGTCTTATCTACTACTTGTTCTTAAAGGTTGTCTTCTGCTTAAAAATGTGTCGAGGCTATTTTTACACATATATATATATATATATATATATATATATTTTAATTTTAGTATACATTTTTACTTTCTGGGTCTTATTTTATAACGTAGTAGTCGGAGAAAGTCGCTTGCTCTGAAAAAATACACTTGAGTCTAAAGGTTTATTTATTTAAAACTACAAGATTTTTTTTAAAGCTAGTTAAAGTTGGTTAGGCGAGATGTCTTACTTTTAAATTTTAATACTTAACTACTGTACTTTTTTTTTTATTTTTTATTTTCTTTTGAAACTTTTTTTTTTGCCGTTTTGAATCTTGTTTGAGGGTAAGTACTAGTTTAAAATTTTTCAAAAATCTTTGATCTATTTTTTCTAAAGTCTTTGGTTTGGTATATAGTAGACTTGGTTTTTTAAATTCTTTTCTATATGCCTTTTTTTTCTTTTTACGAACATGGCTTACTAGATTTTAAACCATACTCAGTTTTACAAACGTGCGATATATCACTAGTTTTTAAAACTCCACCAAAAAAAAATAAATAAATAAACAACGGAAAAAAGCCATGTATGAAGTCAAAAACTAAAACTTGCGTACACACAAACTACTTATTAACTACGTAATTGTAAATGTATTTTATTTTTTGAAATAAACGTTCTTAGTCTCATGAGGGGTGAAGTTTAAAAATTTAGTTGTCTATGTATGTTTTCTTTCTCCTAAAAAAAAAAAAAAAAAAAGTTTTAACCAGTGTATTTTTGGTATTATCACGAAGTGGTTAGTGATTTCGACCCCCACTGGGTCTTCCATTCTTGTAGCCTTGTTCCAAACTTAGCTCGGTAAATAAACGCTATAGCATGCGTACATTTTGCACACGCAACTTGTGTTAAACTTTGAAACCTAACTTTCAAGTTTCAATGTATGTCTCGCTACAAAAAACAAAACAAAAAAAAAACGCCAATATTTACTGTTTCATAGTCCGTCCGCTGATGCAAGAAGAGAAACAAGATTTTTAATAAAAAAAAATCTCAAATATTCTAAAATGAACGGGAAAAAAATTACTAAATCAAAAACATTTTTCGTTTTTTTTTCTTAACGTAAAGAAAGATTTTGACGATAAAACCTATTTTTCAAATTTTGGGCACTTTTTTTTTTTTCTTCATCATATGCCTTTTTATCTCCGGCTAATTCGTGAACTTGACTAAAAAAAATGTACAGGTGCCTGTAGTGTAAAAAGTAATGAATGGAGTAAGTAGTGAATTATTAAACAAACACGCACTCTCTTTAAATCTAAAAATAACTTCTCTGACTAATATTCATAATGAGGGTAACTGAATGAAAAGTCACTCCCCATTTTAAAATACTTATATTAACCATAATTTTTACAAGAGGAAAGCATTTTTAGCAAGCAGATTTATTTAAAATTCGATCTGGGCACCAGATTTTATGAACAGCTTCTCGAGGCGCCCAGGAAAAGTGTCACTTGATTTCATCAGTAAAACTTCTTGTGGTATGGAAGACATAAACATCTTGTATTCGCCCGTCAAGTTTTTCTAGTATTTGGTTTGGTAGTAGACTTGTTTTTTTTTAATCTTATTCAGTCAGGATACCTGGCTGGTCATTCATACATAAACTCTATATACTTTTCAGATAGTGAATCGGTAAGGAACAAAATTAAAATAAAAGGCCAGAGGGAAAGAACTATTCTTAGCTGAGGGGTATGTATGTATGTATGTGTAAAAAATATATAGAAAATAGGAAAGAACTCGTTAGGTAAATAATCCAAAGTTCTTTAGTATTTTTGTTATTATTTTTTAAAATAGTGCTCGATACAAAAGTAGAGCATAAATATAATTATTTATTTAAAAATGATTCCAAACGCTACATAAGAGTTCTCATGTTTCAAAACAAGAGCCGAAAACTTCAATATAATTATTTGAATTAAATTAAAGTACTAAGTTCTCTTCTATCGTCAAGCGAAATTTTCCTTTGAATGTAACGGAGATATTGATACAAATTATTAACCCTTACGCCCCTTTTCTTTAAATAATTGCTCTAGCTGTTACCATAGTAATTTTAATTTCAATAATGAATATGCTTATAAAACGCGTAAATTTCAAGAATAAGTTATTCCAAAAAAAAATTTCGCTTGAAGATGGAACAGAGCTTGGTACTTTAATTCAATTTAATTAATTCAAATAATTGAAGTTTTTTTCGGCTCTTGTTTTGAAAAATGAGAACACTTATGTAGCGTTGGAATCATATTTTTAAAAATATATATTATAAAATGTGTGTGTATAACAACAACTTAGTGACATATATACTGACGTCAGAAGATGGATTTTTTTTTCTCTAAAAGGAGTGAAATGAAAACCTAAAAATATTTTTGAAATGAGGCTTTTAGAATAAATAAAACTAAAAGGGACAACTTAGAACGGAAAAGAAAGAAAGACTAAAACCACATTTTTTTTTTTTTCTGTTTAGAAATAAGATTTACTTGACACCCGAACCCACCCCGGCTGAGTCAGTTTGTGACACAAGGTCAGTTTTTTTACGTGGGGACCCGTGTGTTTTCACTCTGGCCGCTGGTCATATCTTGTCCAGGCTGGTCAGAACCGGTCCGGAAGTTGAATTAATTAAAATTAACTGCTGGCAAGATGATGATTCCCCCCCCCAGTCACCACAAACTTGACCTCTTGAAGTCCAGGGTTAAAAATCGTTATCTCTCCTCACTTCCTGTCCTGTATAACATGATGACCTTTTCACTTCTTGTCTTTTCTTACTCTCCTACAACACGACACGGTAATGCTCTGCCTTGAGTGCCACTTTGGCTTTGAATTGGATGAACGGTCATTATTATAAATAAAAATTAAAAAAGGTTGTAATTAATTCTGGGTTTATAAACGAAGAGCAACTGTAGCATTGGCTTGTTATTGTTATTATAAAGAAATAATTATTTTTAAATAAATTATTTCAGTATAAATACATATGCGCTGACGTCAGAAGATGAAATTTTGTAGTTTTTTTATTTTATTTATTTATTTTTTTATTTTATTTATTTTTTTATTTTTTTTTTTTAAAGAATGAAATGAAAAATTATTTTAATAAGAAAAGAACCTAAGATATTATGGTGCTAAATAGCTAATAATCGCACCAAACCTACCGTTACTTTAAAAATGACAATGCACTCGTTATTGCTGGGGGTTCAAAACTTCTCAAAAATGCTTAGAAAAAACGATGATGACCTGTTTTTACTTTTCTTTTATTTTTATTTTTTAAATGACATCAAATCAGTTTTTATCAAACTTTAAAATTACTATTTGATATTATTTTTTTTGTAAACAAATTAAGGGTTTTTTTAACATAACCAGTTCTCTGCCTTTTTAATCTTAACGGACCCCTCAGCCTAAACTTTATGCTGAGGAACTCTAAACCAGTGGTTCTCAACCGGGGTCTATATGGACCCTAGGGGTCCATGTAATATTTCCAGGGGTCCACAGGCAAAACTCAATTGTTGTGTTAATTAAAAATAGTAATAATAATTATTATTATAATTATAGTAGAATATTTTATTTGTATTAAATTAGTTTTCATTTAAAAATAAAGCTTAATCGTATACTATTTCTTTGATAATTAAA